TTTCAGGATGTATTTTCTTTAGCAAAGTTTGGTTCAAACTGCCCAAAAGCTTATCTAGTTTTTATATTTTGGGCTGAGATTTTAGTGGGATCACAAGGAGAGTACTGTTTGGAAGTCCCCAGGGTGATTTCCCAGATGTGACCCGGTTCCTGTGCTCTGTGTTGGTGTTCTGGTTTCCAGGACGTAGGGACTCAGCCAGCTGCATTTCAGTTACATAATCTTAGCATAAACTGTTCCTTAGTTTCCTGTGCCCCAGCCTAGAGTGACTGCAGAGTGACTGTATGCTCCCCAACTTCCCCTTCCCTTCCGTGCTGATAGTAACTAGGAGAAAGTCATCTAACATTTAAAAATACAAACAGGGAACTTCCAGAAGTTTAATGTTAGTTTTGGTTTCTAGTGTTTGTGCCATTTCTTTCCATTTAGGCCTCTTTCAGCTTCTAGTTCCTAACGTTATGTTTGGAGAAAATAGTTTGCTTGTAGGGGAGGGTTTTTTAGGCTAATCATATCTTTCATTTGATCCATTCATTTATTGTAATTAGTATATTATAAAAAAGTACACCTTGAACCTCTAGTTAGGAGGTCAAGAGCAAAGCAAAAGGTTTATGGTACGTTTAACTGTATTTGAATTTGTGACTGGAGATTTGCCTGTTTGTCCTTGGCTCAGACTTTGCATCCTGAGTGCTGTACCTGACAGATGGGTAGCAAATCTGGGATGGAGGGTTGGGTTCCCAGGTGTCGGGGAGGGGAGAACTGTTTCCACACCTGGTCCATTTTCTCACAAAAATACTAATGGGATGAATTTCAGTTGAGTTTGCCCAGTCCCCTCTGGAAGGCTGGGAGTTTTTTCTCAGCCCAGGAGGATTTCTTGGGCTTTGACCAAGAATTGAGAAGAGGTGTTATCTCCTTGGCTTACCTATGGAATGTGCTAAAACATTTTTGTAGTTGTTTGTGAAAGTGGGACTTCCAAATAGTTGGACTCCCATGGAGACTCCCTTGTGCTGCAGTAACTTCTTTCATCTGCAGTAACAGATTTCATTTTATTTACCTATTTGGTGATGGGGTATACTTCATTGGAAATCTTCTAGAAGAGTCTCTTCTTCACATCCACCTCACTCAGAAGAGAAATGCCCCTCTTTGATTTCATTTATTGTTGTTTTGAGATGGGGTCTCCCTGTATCCCCAGCTGGCCTATAACTCAGTATGTAGACCAGGCTGGCCTTATTTCACTGAGATCTGTCTGCCTCTGCCTCCCAAGTGCTAGGATTAAAGGCATACCCTTGCCTGGCTTTGATTTCATTTTTTTTAAACGTGTTTTGTCTAGACCAAATTACTTTAAAATATGAAGCATGTGGATAGTACTAAATAGTTATCCGTATTTTGAAATGCCTAATATTCATGGATTTTTTTGAAAAGATACTTCTTTATAAAAATAACATCAAAGAATCCATATATAAGCCTCCACATATTTGTAGATTTGACTTGTTTATTCATGACAAAAAATTAATGTTCATGAGCTAAAATTTCAATAAATGCAAATAAATCAGTGTAGTTAATGGGTCTAACCACCTCAAGATAAAAAATTGGGCATTTCATTGATTTATTTGTCCACCTGTTAAACATTGTCTCTGCTACACAGTAGTTTCTTTACAATCCCTTTTTTTCTTAAAAAAAAAAAAAGGCAACTTTTTTATTGTGTCTTGCCTTATTTTCTGGACAGAACATAGGAAAAAACATTCCAAAGAAAACTTTGGCTTATTTATCTGCTTCTCCACTATACTGATTTTTTTTCCTAGTCAGCGTGGCTCTTGCAAAGAGAAAGTAGTTATAATGCTATTTACTTTATCATTAGTATGCTTTGTTTTAACAGATTATTGTAGATTTATATACACTAGAAATTTATTATCTCATTTTATATTTTATTTTTATTTTTTCCATTTATTTGTTTGTATATATGTGTGAGCACATGTGTTTTACACATGTGTGGAAGTCAGAGGACAACTTAGTTGTAAATATTTTGCCTGTTGAGCCAGTTGAGCAAACTCCACCATTTCTTAACTCAGAACGGTTGCAGGTGCTGTTTCCTCAGTTGGAAATGTTCTTCCTCTGCCATTTCACATGGTTCACTTTCATCGTTCAGAAACCTCTTCAAGTCTTTTGCTGCCCAGGTCTGTTCCTATAGTTTCCAACTGTAATTTGATAAATGCTCATGAATGGCATGCTAATGTATGCCTCCAAAGCATGTTTGCAAACTGATTTTTTTTCTTCACTACTATATCCCTAGATACTAGTGTCTAGAACAGTGTCTGGCATTGAATAGACATTGGGAAATTCTTTAGAGTAAATCAACAAAGTTATTTTGGAAGGTGAAAACAATGTTCAGAGCTAATTTTTATCAAATAATGAATTTGAGTCAGTGCACTTTGCCATATGTACTACTGACATTAGGAAGTAAATCAAAGGTTATATGGTTTCATAAAAGTCTGTAACACATTTACTGATTTATTTGTAATGATAAAATCTAAGGTAGTGCAAAGTGAGACCTTCCTCACACTTGTAACTCAGCTTTAGAAGATCATCTGCTGGGCAGCGGTGTAAATGTAGTCACATTTATTTATCTGCTGTACAAAGTAGTATAGTTACCAACACTGGAATCTTAGTTTCATAGATGTGCAGCGGGAAACGTGGCTCAGCAGTTAAGAACACTTGCTGTTTTTCCAGAGGACCTGGGTTCTATTCCCAGCACCCACATGGCAGCTAACAATTGTCCATAACTCCAGTTCCAAGGAATCTTGACACTCTTCTGACCTCCATGGGTACTGCACAACACAGGTGCACCTACATACATGCAGGCAATACAGTCATACACATAAAATAAAAATAAAATATTTAAAAAGTTTCATAGCTGCTCAGCTGGTCACTCGCTCAACCTAATTTGCTTCTTTCTTTTAAAAATAGCAGAGAGAAGATGGCACTTCAGGAAATCTAGGGTCATTTAGAAAAAAACTGATACAAGTAATTTGGAAAGGGAACTTTGGTGAATCAGGTGGAGTTATTTGTAACTTCAGGAAAGGCAAAGGAAAGGGTCTTTCTTTAGTTTTTTTCTTTCTTCCTCCCCACCTCCCCCTCCCCCTCTCCCTCCCCCTCCCTTCCTGGTACTGGGGATTGAACACCTTGGGCCTCACACATGCTAGGCAAGCACTTATCACTGACCTATATCTGCAGCCCTTTTTCTAATTTCATTTTGAAACAGGGTCTCACTAAGTTGTCCAGACAGACCTTGTGATCCTCCTGTCTCAGCCTCCTCAGTAGTTGAGACTATAGACCCCTAGGTCTTGGTTCCCTGTTGATCATAGTATTTACTCCAGGAGAGAAACTGAAGAATGCTTTCAGTTTGAGGAAGGGCTGTATATTCAGACATCAGCATATTTCTCCAGGAAAAGGTATCACATAGGATTATGAATTATTGAAAGCCCATATTTATTAACATAAGTTGAGCAGAACAAAGTACGACCAACCTAGAAGTGAGGACTTGAGAACATAGAAAGACTGCTATGATCCAGGTGGGTGTTGGGTGAAGTGCCAAGGCTGGAAAAGACCGGGAAGCCCTATACAAAGGCTACAATGTATGGCCTTGAGGCACCATGTCTCCTTTTATAAAAACAATTCCATAGAATTACTGTGAATAATTACAGTAGAGTTATTTTTTTTTACACTTTGTTACCATTAACTAGTAAACTCATACATTCATTAGCTGAAGTTAATTTTTAAGCTTAGAGTAAGAGCACTATTTCTTAAAATAGAAGTGAACTATATATTATTTACAATTTGTGTAGAGTTATTATTCAAGGTTTGTCCTTGAGGTTCTTAAAATAGCAGGGTGTCACACTTTTTCTAGCATTTGATGTGCACTCAGAAAACTTTGCCACAATGTCTTAACCTGTTATGAATTGGAACTGCTAAAGACTTAGCAGACTGTGCACCGGACTGTATTTTGGGAATCACTGGTTCTTGTTCACTCTACATCCTTACTATAATAAGTGTGGGGCCATGAATTGGTGACCTTGGTACCACCTGGGATCCTTCTGGAAGGGAAGACAATGAGGTTCTGCCTCAGACCTGCAAATCAGAATTGCCAGCTCCTTTGCATGGTCAGCTGATGTCAATGGACACTAACAGCTGTTAAGTGCTGCTCTAAAGACCCCTGCCAAGTCGGGCTGTAGAGCAGAATAAATATCTTTCGTAACAAGTGACTCACTCTCCAATAGTGAAACCTGTTACTATCTTTAGGTATCCTAAATCTGGGACTTCCTGAAATAAAAGCTACCATATTTTTGTTGATTTTGTTTCTGTATAAATTTTTCTTAAGAATTTATTTTTTTTTAACTGTTTTCTAATAAGAGAACATGCAGTTTTTGTTGGTTGGTTCGGTGTTATGGTTCACCTTGTATAAGAAAAGCTGTGAGGAGCAGCTTTAATTTTTTTTTCAACTTTATTTTTTTTTTCAGGATATGGCACATTCTGACAACTAGCTGTCCTGTAATGCGCCTGCCCTGCTGCCTTTCAGCTCACTTTCTTCTGTTTTTATTCTTCTCACCCTCCTCCTCGTTTTCCTTTCTCCCCCTCTTCAGACTCTCTGAGAGCACTATAGTTCCTCCTCCACCTCTGCCTTTATCCGTAAAACTGTCTGTGTGGAGCACTCGAAAAATAAGACATATGCGTCTTTCATTACCAGCTTGCTTCCGACGGACTGAGCTGATTTCTTTGGAAAACCAGTCATGAAGGACAGTGATGTAGTATGTGGGGCTGTTTTGGCTGTTGGGTTTTTGTGTGTTTGGTTTTGTTTTGTTTTGGTGTTTGGTAATTTCAGCATCCTGTAAAGCAGCTTTTAGGAAATCATAAACAAGCTTACTAAAATGCTTTTACTAAACTTTTTAATGGCGTCATATTTTTCTTTTAGCTTAGCCATTCCTTAAATGTGTTATCTTGGTGTTTTATTTCAGCACCGAAGTCTTCACGCTTCAGAAGACAGCCTCCTGAGGCCTCCAATCCCTCCCCAGCACCCTCTCCAAGTGCAGGAACCCACCCTAACAGTGCAGGTAAGCAGAGGCCCCAGCAGTGTCTCAGGTTCCTTAGATACAATTTTGGGCATTCAAAAGAAATGTTCCATTGCTTACAGGTGGTGTGAAAAACCCTCTGCAGCTGCCTGGTGTTTTCCTTCTTATGAGTTTACAGGTGGCCAGTATAGCCGGAAGTCAAGCTATCAAAGTTATGTTATTTTTATTCTCAACTTGAATGGGCTTTTTTGGGAACTAACTTGAGCTAAGATGCAAAAAAATAGTGAGAAAACTCTGAAGTTAAAAGCGGGGCATTCTGTGTTTCACAAATACTGTAAAAATGTGATTGCTTACAAGTCATGGGCAAGAGGCTTGTTCCTTCTGGGTCATGCTTTCTCGATAGAATTTATCCTATTTCCATTTGTCTTTAATGAAAAATGATCAGTAATTTTATTGTGCTACCATATTATAAATTTTAGGTTTATTCTTCTACCTATTCCTGGAACCTCATGGGCAAATTTCAGACACCAACTTATTAACTCTATTCTGAGAAAGCTCTAAAACAAAAAGGTCCATCAGGAATTAGCTATATTTTTGTTGTTTTGGTTTGGTTTTTGTGACTGGGTCTTCCTGCTGCCCCAGCTGGCTTGGAATTGGGGCCTAGAACTCCTTGTGTAGACTTGCGTGGCATTAAAAGCATGTGATATCACACCGGGAATTTTTTTACTTATGAATTCTTGCAGTCTTTTTGATACATTAAGATTTGTCAAAAAAAACAGCTTATTGTATTAGCAAATTTGTCACAGTACAGCCTTTAAATAAAAAAAAAATTATGTGTATTATGTGTATGAGTGTTATGCCAGAAGAGGGAGAGGGCATTGAATCTCCTGAAACTGGAGTTAACGACAGTTGTTAGCCACCATGTGGGTACTGGGATTTGAACGTGGGTCTTCTGCAAGAACAGCCAGTGCTCTCAACCACTGAGCCATCTCTCCAACCACTTTTAATTTTTTAAACTTGTATTAATTCATTGTGTGTGTGTGTGTGTGTGTGTGTGTGTGTGTGTGTGTGTGTGTGTGTGTTCAGGGAACTGCTTGCTGGAGTCTGTTCTCTTCTTCCACTATTTGGGTCCCATAGATCAAACTCAGGTCGGCAGGCTTGGTGGTAGTCTCACTGTCCCAACAGCACAGTCTTGTTTGGAGACCTTTTCATAACAGCTGTATATTGATGGAGAAAGTATGCTTTAGCAGTGCTGGCAATTTAAATATTCACCATCATCTTGGAATTTAGTCCTTGAGGATGTCTTAAGTTTTTGCTTATTAACCCTGAGATTATTTATAGTGCTTTCACAACCCTCCTCCAGGACAGTCCTGGGCCACTAGACTTGAACATCTCTTGACTGCTATGATCCTAGGCTGGATGTCAGGCAAGAACCTCGGGTTCTTACTGCTGGCAATCTCTTATGGAATCTGGACTGGAATTATTTTGGTGATTGGGGAGCAGCTTTTCCTATTTTCTGACATCAAGGAGATTGGAGTATTTTGAGAGTCTTTCTAGCATAATCATGAAAAGCATGAACTTTGGTGCATGTGGGCTCACCATTTCTGCTGCTGACTGTGGGGATCTTTGGGCAGGTCTTCCCTTCTCAGTGCTGCAGTGTCTCTCTCTGTAGAGTTTGGATGACAATGATACCTTTCTTTGAGGGTGATTTTGGTGATTAAGATTTCTGCACCTAGAACATTCAGAATGGGTTAAATGTTTAGTATATTTTAGCTAATTTTTGTCTCATCTGCTGTACAATGTTTATTCTTCTGTATCCATTTGCTAGCCTAAGGCTTATATATATATTTCATTCTTCATCCTTACCCTGTTAAACTTGCCATGTCACTCAAATCCGAGGACACAGAAGCTGACTCTTTGTCAACATGATGAGAGATCTTAAACAAGATGAAACCTATTTGCCAATTCAGGTTATTTTTAAAGTTCTTGACTTTATTATTCTTAGGCAAATTTGAAGCTGGGTGTGTTGGTACACACCTAAAATCCCAGCAACTGGAAGGAACAGGCAGAAGGATTAGCCAGATGCTGCTACCTAGTAAATCAGGTCAGCTGGGTTACCTGAGATCCTGTTTTGAGAAAAAAAGGAAAACATTTGAAATGCTGATTATAAATCTGGATTTGTTTGATTTTGCTAAATCTCAGTATCTGTGTAGTTTGTTATGAAAAGCATAAAAATGAATAGTTTTGTTAGCAGAGATAGGTTCTGATTCTAAGATGAGTTTGGACAAAGAATTATTTCTGTTTTGATAGTCTTGTATTTTATATTCAGAATCATATGATTAAGGAAGACTTCTGTAATCAGATACTTTGAAATGTCAAACTTAATGTGCAGAAATAATGAGTGTCATGGTAATGGAAACTTACTTTTATTGAAGTTATTATTAGTCTTAGGTCATGAAGATCTAAGATCTTTGCCCATGGTGTTTTTGAGATAGTTTTTGAGCAAAGTCTTGGCATATGGTTAGCTAGTATCTTACTAGTTCCAAAAGAAAGTCTTTACTGTGTGCCAGATACTTTAATTATATTTACTATGGATACCAAGCTCCTTTCATTATATCATTAGTCCCCATTTTACAGAAGAAAATGAGACATACAGAAATTAAGCAAATTCTGGGGTCATGTGGGTAGGCAGAGGAACTCCTGAGATTCAAATCCAGGATGACTGACTGCCAAGCAGGCAACTCTAACACTCAATTATGCAGCCTCCTCCTGAGTGTAAAGAGCATGAAGAAGATGAGAAGTGGAAAGGTTAAATTATAGATGCCTGAAATTCTAGGCTTAGTGATTTAATGTGTGTTTGGCAGATAACCAGTGAAAGTTTTGCTGTGGGATGTGTGGAAAGATGAGAACTGCTCTTTGAGAATGTTACGCCATCCATAACACTTGGGCTGGTTTAAAGGGAGAATTAGGGGTCATTGGGAGGACCTGAGGGAAAAGTAATGAGAATGTGGGTTCAGGAAGCTACATTAAGATCACAGCCTGAGAGCACCTGAATTCAGGGGGACTGAGGAGGGAAAGAGATAATAGAAGCACGGGCAGGGAAGTGACAGGAGACCCAGGCTAGTATGGCTCCAGCCAGAGGGAGGTGGGCCAGAAGTTGAACACTATAGAGATCAGAGAGGAGTGGAACAAAAGACAGGCCAGCGGATCAGTGGTATCAGTCTTTTCATTCCCTAGTGATTTGTTTACTCACTAAATATTTCGTGATAGACATCCACTCAAGAACGCCTTGCTGTGTACCCACTGTGTTACTTATTAGCAAAACTGCATTTTACAACTTTTTAAGGTCTTTGCAACTCTGCCTCTTCTGTAATTTGGTGCATAAGGCTTTACTCTTGTCTAAATACCTGGACTCTGGCACCCTTTCTAGCTCTTAAGATCTGTAATTCTTGGATCCAAATTATAAATAGCAGTCACTAGAAATACTGCTCTCAGTGTTTAAAGGGGGATTTGTTTAGCACTTAAAAAACCCTTTAAATTACACTTATTTTGTATTGTGTGTATATGTGGGGGTTAAAGGACAAGTTGAGGAGTCAGTTTTGTTCTCTCTTTTCAACAAGTAGGTTCTGGGTATTAGCGGGTTTGAGTTACCTGCTGAGCCATCTCACCAACTCATTCAGTCAAGATGCAGAATGAAGTGGGCATCCTGTAGGTACAGTGTGACGAGAGGAAGTCAATACATCTTCTCTCAAAAATGCCAGCAGTATCATGGGGACTGGTAAAAGGTGGAGGATAAGTCTGGGAATTATGTAGGAGGGATGGTGTCTGACAAATTTACAAATAAACCACAAGCATTCCTGAGTAGGGTGAGGGAAACCTCAATCTCTCTTATCCTCAAAGAATATTTGATTTGTTTCTTCAGAGTCTGTTTATTAACCATTTTGAAAGGTCAAGCCCTGGAGACTTCTAAAGTCTTGGGAGTTGGAAGGAGCTTCTAGCTCTCCTTAGAACCCCTAGCTTCTGTGAAGTGCTGATGCTGTCAGTGAGATCCTGTCCCTCTTTCCTCTGACCTCCAGTAGTGCTTCTCAAATACACGGAACACCTAGGTGCCTTCCTGGTGACACTATACTCCTTGGATCACACTTGAAGTAGTAGAACTCTGAAATAATTTTTCTTTACTCCTCATAACAGATACAGTAATCTTTGAATCAGAATAGCTTAGCTTCTTCACTAGAAAGAACTCTGCTCCACATGTCCTTGAGTGCATATGCAGTATATTTATGTAGATATTCAATGCATTATCAATATAAATAAATTTAGAGATTCTTTGTTCAGTGACATATTATTCAACAGCACCAGTAATTTTAACAGTTAATTTTTCCATTTTAACTGAAGTAATTCCATTGTTTAAAAATAGGCACCAGAATGTGGTGATATAAAGCTTTAATATAAAGTTAAAAGACTTACTATACTATCCATGAAAACATGTATCTGCCCAAAGAGTTGTAATTTGAATGTTTGTTGTAGTTTATTTACAGTAAGCAAAAATTGCAAAGAAATCAAATGTTTTCTTTCTAGGAAAATGATAGACAAATTCAAAACAGCGGAATACTGCTTAACAATGAAAAGAAATGAATTCCTGGTGCAAGAAAGCCGCAACGCTGAATGTGCTTTTCAAAGCAAAGACACACCCTGTATGGTTACATTTCTATGAAATTACAGAAGCATCAAGACTATAGTAATGCCATCTGATTGCTAGGATCAGAAAAGAGGGGCAAGGAGCTGGTTGCAAAGGAGCACAAAGGAAATTTGGGGGTTGATGGAAATGTTCAGTACCCTAATACTGATGATTGTTAAGGATGGTAAAATTCTTCAAAAGTCATCAAACTGTATACTAAAATGTGTATTTATTTATGGCATAAAATTTCTTTCAGAATAAAGCTAATTTAAAAAATTGGGCTAATGTGCTAGAGAGATGGCAGCTAACAACTGTCTGTGACTCCAGTTCCAGGGGATCTGACAGCATCTTCTGTCCTCCACTG